AAGGAAGGAAGGAAGGAAGGAAGGAAGGAAGGAAGGAAGGAAGGAAGAAAGGAAGGGATTTAAAATTGTATTACTCAAGAACACAATAAAAGTGGTGGTCTCACCATCAGAAGGAAGGAAGGAAGGAAGGATTTAAAACTGTATTACTCAAGAACATAATAAAAGTGGTGGTCTCACCATCAGAAGGAAGGAAGGAAGGGAGGGATTTAAAACTGCATTACTCAAGAACACAATAAAAGTGGTGGTCTCACCATCAGAAGAGGGTGGTGTAGTCCCAAGTGGAGTGACTGGGGTCGTTGGAGTAGGACTGACAGGAGTTGTCACCAACCCCATTTCTGGATGGCTCTGAAAGAGGGCACAGATGGATAAGAAAACAGAGCATCTAGTTCTCTATTAACCATGTTTACTGGTCTTCAGGGTCACAAGGAGACTGGCAGCTCACTGAGGACCTGCATTTAGTACCCTTGAATGCTCAATTACTACTGGTGCCTGCTAAGCTTCTAACAGGAAGCACTGTGGGTTAATTTTCATTATGAAATTTCCGTTCCATTACACAAATTTTTCTGTAGAGCCATAAAAATATAATAATAATAATAATTAATACAGTATTCAGATGTATGGATTATTTTCATGACCACAGAATTGACAAATAGAATAGATGTTGGTAAATCAAGGGGATGCTAAGAACCATAAAAACAGCTGTGCTAATGGCAGCCTTCTTGTTCCACAAAAACACACAAACAAAAATAAAAATAAAACAAGAGCATGTGGGCCAGCATGATGGCTCAGGGGGTAAAGGTACATGTTTACAAGCTAATGACCTGAGTTTGATCCTTCTACTCATATGGTAGAAGAACAAAACCAACTCCCATAAGTTATCCTCTGACCTCTACATGTGCCACACTTTTATATTCCCCCTACACATGCACACAAATAAACAAGTAAGTGCAAGGAAAAAGTCATGTAAGAGAGTGTGAAGTGTGAAGGCAGAGGCAAGAAAAGACATCTAGTGTGAACAACACAGCTGAGCATGTGTCCTTGTTCCCTCAGCCATATCAACTGGAAGAAGGATGCTCAGAAGTAGCTTGTTTTAGAACCCCTTCCTCTTCAATACCTTTCCCAGTCTTTTCTCTTTCTCACTTCCTCTAAAGTCACTTATGGAATTTGATAGACAAGAAACTTGGTGAGAATAGTAGATAAACTTTCTTACATTATCTTATGAAACTAGTAAGAGTCAGAAGCACACTAAAAAAAAAGCATACTATTTTCAAACACAGCCTAAATTGGTTAAAATTCTACTAGTGGATTACTTTAAAAGAATCACATACACCAGCATGGTAGCATATGCTATTAATCCCAGAGTTCTGGAGGCAGAGACAGGTGGATCTCTGAGTTCAAAGCCAGCCAATCAGGCCTACACGGTGAGATCCTGTCCCACTAAAATAAAGTCAGATAGGGAAGGAATGAAGAAAGAAACTTACATACGTATTTTAAACAGTGTGCCATTAAAATAAAGACACCTGAGTCTGTTAAGATAGTGCTAGCATGTTTTAGTCCCTTCCCGTGCCAACTACCGAAGATAGCCCTTAGGCATATGAGCAAGTGTCTTATGTCTTCTTAGTTTCAATGTGTATACACAACACATCCTGGTTAGAAAGCTTTTTAACTTTTGTTCTCTGGAAACTGATAAGATAATGGCATAAGTGATTTGGCCTATAGTATCACACTGTAATTCCATAAAGATTTATAAAGAAGACAGCCTAAGAGAAAACTCCGTTAACTCCATAAAGCAAATAATTCCAGCAGATCCTGATAGGTGAAATGCAGTGATCTCAACTCTTTCACAGGGGGTGAGTAAACCAGTCCAACCATTAACTTTGCATGCCCAGCTGAACACATTCACTAAGGACAACACAAAGTACAAGCCACTGACTAATGCCAAACAGAGTTTAAACAGGCACAGCCAGACAGGCTTTTTAATGGAATGAGTCTGTATAAAATTCGAGGAAAGAGATTTGGAATGAGAAAAGCATTTGCCAAATATGTACAAGGTTCTGGATTTTATTCCACAACATCACAAAAACTAAAGATAATGTGAAATTTGAAAGAGAAAGGGATTGGCGAAGGGGTGTGTCTCACTTTGCTTCCCTGGCTGGCCTGGAACTCAGAGATCCACCTGCCCTCTCTCTCTCCCCAGTGCTAGTATTAAGGGTGCAAGCCACCATGTCCAGCCAGGATTGGGATGTTTAAGATAACCAACCTGAGCCAATACTGTGATGAAGTTTCGATTTAAATGGACAGCTTCATAAAGTGCCAGAAGAATGGCCTCATTGGTTCTAAAGAAAAAGCGAACAAACCAGATTTGTTCCTAAAGAGTAGAGAATGTAATACATTATAACAATTAAGAGCTCCTCATTGTCAATCCCTCTATTTATCCTTTGGACAGATGCAAATGCACAAAGGTTAAGAACCTGAAACCCTAGGACCAGTTCTTCCCACCCCTACCCAACTCCACCTGTAAGAGGCAGATACCCAGCCATTAGTCATTTCATTCCAGAGACAGTTAGTAATGGTGACCCTAACACTCAGGAGGCAGAGACAGGAAGATTGCTACAAGTTTGAGGCCAGCAAGTTCTATACAGAGAGTTCCAGGACAGCCAGGACTACACATAGGGTCTCATGTTGCCCAGATTGGCCTCAAGCTCACTATGTAGCAGAGGATGATGGTAAACTTCTGATCCTCCAACCTCCACCTCAGGAGGACTGGGATAACAGGCATATGCCCATCACACTTTTATTTAATGTTGATGATCAAGCCGAGGGCTTCATGCACACTAAGCAAGAATTCTACCAACCCCAGCCTCTAAAGCAGGGATCTCTAAGAATCCATTGCTACTTAAAACCCAACAAACACTTCACAAATCATTAAAAAGAAAAGTTTCAATCTGCAAAAGCTTGACAAGAGGTTATATCCTCTGATCTATCAGCAAGTCAGCCTGCACTAAAGTCCAAGTACTTACTGTACCGAGATTTTCTCATGGGCGTCTGCTATGAACATGCTGCCCACCTGTGGAAGAAAAGAGGAACCACAGATTTTACACAGGAAGACAGCAGAGGGGCTCTGTACCCAAGAATTTAATTCAGAAAAAAAAACAATGCCTCTAGTAGCAAAGAACAAGGAACTCTGGCCCATCGGCCACACACAAAATCAGTCCACTTTGAAAACTGTAAAAGACTTACAAATAATAAATAAAATTAGATTCCTATTAAATCATCTAGCCTTTCAATGTCTTTAATAATAATGTCAAGGTAGGCGTTAACCTAAATATGCTAATCGCTATGTTTCCTAACAGCTGCTAATTTGTAGCCAGAAACTAACAAAGAATTTCAAGCTTGTCCTGATACCTCACAACTATAATTCCAAACTCCGAAGTTCAAGGTCAGTCTGGGCTACATAGGGAATGGAGGCCTACCTGAGCTACTGTCTCAAAAGAAAAGAAAATAATTTTTTAAACCTCAGAGAAAGTAGGCTGATATCAATCAGCTGGAACAATTTATGGAAAACCTGTTCTCCTTTCATATCACAGAATTTTAGCTTACAGGAAAGGCAGATAAATAACTGGCACAAGCTGTCTTTAGCTCATATGATTTCAACACTCAGATGTGGCAGTGCACACCAGCAAATTAAGCACTTGAAAAGCAGAGGAAGGATCAGTTCAAGGTCATCCTCAGCTATGTAACAAGTTCAAGGCCAGCTTGGACTTCATGAGACTAGGCCTATTGTAGGCATACTTTTTTAGCTATTTTATTGGGTTCTTATATCTACCACCCTTCTCCACCCGAATTCCTTCCAACCACCCAACACTAGGTGGTTGAGAAAGAAGGTTAGAGGGAAAGGGGAGCAAAGACCTTTTCAGACTACTTTTTGTTGATCAGAGTTCCTAGGGGCAAGTCCAATCTCTGTCGTCAGAATATCCAGCAATCCAGCAAACCAACAATAGCAAATGCAGCAGCAGGAAGAGCAGCAGCCACCAAGGCCCTCTCCAGAGTCCCTAGAATTAAACTATCTGCAGTGGCAACATCACACCCCTCCTAGAGCACAAGACCATCACAGTAACAGCTATGGACAATCTGAAGCAGCCCCATATCCCACACCTGGGATTAAAACAGAAACATTCATGTAACACAACAGTTTTTAAAGAAACTAAAATTCTCATGATACCTACTTTAAAAAAAAAAAAAAAACTTGAAGATGTCTGAGAACAATGTAATTATATCTAATTCATATAATCAAATATCAGTACAAAATTTCTGCTTCCATAGCCTCTGAGACACTTCAGTGATTTACGTCTCAGAGTTAAAGCATTTTTAAGAAGATTCTTTTAAAATTAGGCTCTAAGACGAAAAAGGGTAAGTATGAAAAGGAACCAGGAGAAAAACTGCCCCAGTGGGAGGAACAGTTGTTTTCTGTAATAAACTCAAGAAACTGTCTCATCTCTAGGGCACTTGGACACTAAAGCCCCCAAGGTGGGTTCCAAATTTCCCTGCATTTTAGCATCCACTAGATTTATTTATTCCTCCTCCCTTTTTCCTTTTTATACTTCTTTTTAAAAAATTATCTTTTTGAAAATTTATTTTATTGCCAGACAGTGGTTTTACACACCTTTTGTCCCTGCACTCAGGAAGCAGAGGCAGCTGATCTGTGAGTTTGAGGCCAGCCTGGTCTACAGAGTGAATTCTAGGACAGCCAGCGCTACACAGAAAAACCTTGTCTCAAAAAAATATATTTTATTTTATTTTATTTTATTTTATTTTATTTTATTTTATTTTATTTTAT